CGACAGCGCGAAGTTGATGTATTTCCTCAGCGACCAGCACGGATCAGCTCCAGGCATGACGAAGCAGATATCGTCCTCTTTTAGAAGGCCAAACAAAGTAGTTTCACTTTCACAACGAAACACACAGCGCCTTCACGACATGGCGGCGGCGGCAACAACAATACTACAGCGAGAATAAAAGTTACGCCTTGTAACATTCCAAAGAGAAAGGAAACATTGAAATCGCATCATATGACCCCTTTAAATATAAATGAGCTGGGGCTGGTTGCATAAACCGCTTAGACTAGTCTTAAAAAGTTAGTCATCCAATTTTATTTCTTTAAGACTGGTCATAACTTTTTAAAGTCAGTTATAAAAAGATAGACTGGTCTAATTTGAATCCAGAAAGTAAGTCTGATTACCTCTTGGCTAGCTACTAGTTGGTCAAACTAGTTGTTAAGGCACAGTCTTAACATGGTGGCTATGTTTATGCAACTGGCCCCTGATCTCTGTTTAACTGGAAGTCTTTAGTTTTTAATAATATTGTATTTGATTTTCAAAATTATCAATCATATCATGTCTTTGAAGTCACAGTTTCGTCTGAATATAAGTTTAGCTACTGTAAGAAACCACTAAGCTGGTATTGATTCACCATGATTTATCCATGTAAACCTGTAATAAATAAACAAACGGAGTGTATATTTACACTAGCCCGCCTTGTTGGCAGAGACTATTTACACTAGCTCTACCCACAAACGTGTGATAGAGATGGTCAACACTATAAAAGATGGCAGACAATCATCAGTTCCAGTAGCGTAAATGGTAAAGCGCGTATCGTAGTCTTTTTGACGTGATCGACCTGGGTTCGAATCCGCCTTTTACCCAACTTTTTTTTCTCCTTACACTGGAAAGGCATTTATTTTCAATAAAAATGAAGCAGCTCTAAAAAGAAACTGAGTATATATTTACTCCAAGTACAAATAGCCTGATTTGTTGGCAGAGGCTATTTATTTATTTTCAATAAAAATCAAAGGAAATATTTGAAAAGTGGAAATAAAACGCCTCTTTAATAATACAGTGTTTATTGGGTATGGCTTGCTGTAGGTGTAGGGAGGGCTTTGTCCCAATAAGGTGGCATCCATTTAATAATTTGAATTAAAATTATAATTTACACTCAATACGTTATTACTGCATACTGTTTTATAATGTACTATAATACTGAGGTGCAGATAATTGCCACTATTTGCAAGTAGTATAAATAACAGAAAATCCTGCTTTTTTTAACATAGAAGCATATAATCTATCGCTATCTGCATTTAGTGTAAATAGCATATTGTTAAAAATACTGCTATTTTTTATTACTTAGTATAAATAGAATCCATTGCTATTTGCACTTAGTGTAAATAGCATCTATCACTAAGAAAATATGCTATTTTCACTTAGTGTAAATAGCATCTAGGCCTAATTGCTATTTACACTTAGTGTAAATAGCATTTATTGCTATTTGCACTTCGTGTAAATAGCCTCTATCGCTATTTACACTTAGAGCAAATAGCTGCTGCCGTAAACAAATATGGTATGTAAACATTAAAATTGGTTGAAATCATCAGTGCCATATAAACTTTATTAAATAATTGTACTTTTTTTCGATTCGTTTCAAAATGAACAGCTGGCCTCAAAGAGCGCCGCTCTCTCTCTCTCTCTCTCTCTCTCTCTCTCTCTCTCTCTCTCTCTCTCTCTCTCTCCACTGTTATCCCAGATGCAACCGACTGATTTAATCTACAGTTTCATCCGTTTCATGTCTGTATTTTGCATATGTTTATCTTGTTTTACAGCTGTAGTGTAGAGTGGGCTACATGATTGAGTTTTTTTGCGTGGTGAAGAGCAAAGGGAAGCGTGCATGAATACAGACTAGATTAGGCAGAAGATTTTTCATTCTGCCAGGAAGGCCTTGATCAAAAGTTTATCAATTAGAACACTGGCTCGCCTATTCAGTGTGGTGAAACACTGTAAAAGCATTTACTGTAACTACAAATATGAGGCACTTCTCTTTTGTTGGGTTATGTAACACTGGCTGATGGCATTTTTATAGCAATCATTAGATTATTTAATGGAGGACATATCTCTTGGTATTGATCGAATGTAAGCTACTGTAGCAGCTCTGTGGAGAATTGTAGCCTAAAGGACTACAGCACTGGGCATTAGAGGCCTGAATGATTTAATGAGGCAAATTTAAACAAAGGCCTATATCACTGCCAGTTCAATGCCAGCTCACATCTCACTAAAGTGCTATACATGTTAGTCTCCAATGGTGCTTTCTTTGGAGAGATCACTATGCGCTAAGAGCAATTGCCCCATTAAAGTTCTGTCCTTTCAATTAGCAGATTTGCATACAATTGACATTTTAGGTTCCCTTTAGAGTGTTAGTAGCTAGTCCAAATGAAATATGAGTGTGTGAACTCTTAAAGGACTAATGCACCAGAAAATGAACATTCTGTCATCATTTACTCACCCCTCATGCCCTTGTATAACTTTATTCTTCTTCTGCTGAACATAAGACATTTTTAATCATACATTGCTCACTCTTTTCCATGCGTTCTTAGAGTGTTCAATATTCCAAAGAGACACAAAAGCACCCTAAATCTATTATAAACATAGTGCATGCTTGGTCTACTGAAGTCATAAGATTTCTGATTTAGACCAGTTTTTGAACTGGATTAAATGCTTCATTCACTTAAATGAATTGATAAGTTGAAAATCGCACATGGACTACTTTTATAATTTTTGGATTTTATTGTGGGTTTTTATTTTTTTGCCATTTTGAAGCTTAACAACCCTGCTTTCTTATTCTCTTTCATTAAAGAGAATAAGAAAGAGAATTTGTAAAGGGTGGTCGTCAACTTTTATGTTCCATTGCAGTAAATCACACAGGTTTGCAAAGTATTTCCATTGTTTGGGTGATCTGTTCCTTTAATTGCTCACAGTCATTGTGCTGGGACAGTATGTCTGAAGGGGGCAGTCATTTCCTTCTCTGTCACGCTTTTCTAAATATCTTTTTCCAAAGCTTGAAATACAAACTATTTGTTTACCCCCATTAGAACAGTCCGCCTCAACATTGATTTCCTGTGACTTTGCAAGGAGGCATCTGAAAAGATCTTGCTACTGAATGGTTTCCCAGTGTTGATTAGTGGTCTTAGTACAAAGAGAGCTTAGCTGCAGAGTCATTCACAGAGTCATTCATAGAATGTGAAGGAGGGTTGTTTGAGGCATTTTGGTATAAAACAAAAAGCCAGCATGAATTCACACAATTTCTTCTCAGCAGACCATTTAGAAAATGTGCAACGTATTAGACACACAAATGTTTAATAGTGACAAAGGAGGGTCTGCTTCAGAACACTGTTTTGTTTCAGAAACCTGAAAAGGTCTTCTCAGGCAGAATACAAAGGAAGGCATCAAGGCTTAGTTTGCGTCCAGTGTTTGCATAACATCCTACAAAGATGGCTCCATCTGGTCGATTTTTCTGAGGGCAGCAAAGATGCATCATTTGTTGCCTACAGCGGTCCCAGTAGGATTTCGCCAAGCTTATTTCTAATCATGGCTGCCCAAAATTACGGAGTTGGCTGTGGCTTTTCTCAAAAAAAAATTGCAGTGCTATTTGTCACACCACATGGACCTCAGTTCGTTTATTGTCATGGTTATTGATTTGAGTTCATCATTAGTTCCAGGTGTGTCTTGTTAATTACCAATTTGGTCCATGTATTTAAGTATTGTTAATATTACCTATGTCTCAAGCCTCTCCTTGTGTGGATTTACTTATATGTGACCCTGGATCACAAAACCAGTCATAAGTAGCATGCATGGGTATATTTGTAGCAATAGCCAAAAATACATTATATGGGTCAAAATTATCGATTTTTCTTTTATGCCAAAAATTATTAGGGTATTAAGTAAAGATCATGTTCCCTTTAGATATTTTGTAAATTTCCTACCGTAAATATACCAAAACTGTATTATCATTAGTAATACGCATTGCTAAGGACTTCATTTGGACTACTTTAAATGCGATTTTCTCAATATTTAGATTTTTTTTGCACCCTCAGATTCCAGATTTTTAAATAGTTTTAAAGTTTTAAAGTATCTCGGCCAAATATTGTCCTATCCTAACAAACCATACATCAATGGAAAGCTTATTTATTCAGCTATGCATAATGTATGTATAAATCTCAATTTAAAAAAATTACCCTTATGACTGGTTTTGAGTCACATGTGGATTTATTAAAGACTGTTTATCATCATCATCTTAATCTTCGTGCATGTTCATCGACACCGTATCGTGACACTATTATTTGCTGCAGTTTTTTTTTTCAACAGAAACTTATGAATAATAATTTTCTAATTATGAAAATAGGTTTAGTTTGTTAACTTGCATACAAATACAATACAAAAACTTGTCTGAGTTGGCCAGCAAGACTCAACTATTGACTGATGGCATAAGGTCTTGGCTCTGTAGTTGCTTCAACTGAGGACCGCCCACTTAAATAGAAAGAGGCCTTATGAATAACATATAAAGTGATTGACAGTTGGCAGTGGGTAAATCAGACTTTTGTGCAAACATAAATTATTCATGTAAGATTGGCAGGAAAGCAAATAATGGCACAACAATCTACACTAAAACAAAAATTAGTTGGAGATATCTGTAAAGTTCGTTGTCAGAATTTTGATCCATCTAAAATGAATAAGCACAGTTATTTCAATAGTGTGCACTTCGCCAACAGCCATCAGATGCTCCTGGTACACGTCTATCAACTTTTTAGTTCTCACAAGCATTTCGGGTGAGCCGAAAACAATACCAAATCATTGGACTGTGGTGTCAGTGGCCGTACTTTAAAATTTACCTGCATATGCCGCCTATATATGCCATTGTCAGTGAAATCAATCGTTTAGTTGCTCATGTAGAAGCATAGAAAGACTCTAAGCTCACGGGAATCCAGTAGAAGTCAGCTAATCAGATTTAGAACTAAGCTCTGTTCTTCTGTATTTTACATTTTAGCCAATATTAGGTTATCTTATTATTCTTTGCATACAGAATTTACATATTGTTCACAGTATACTTCTAAGAATATTGTGCAATTTGAATAGCCAAGAAGGTTTCATAACTTCCTTTTTTGTTCCAGATGCAAGGTGTCCAAGTCTCTTTACGTTGTCTCTCTTAATCTCTCTCTCTCTCTCTCTCTTTCTCTTCATCTTTTCCTCACAAATGGAGCACAACATTCCCGAAGGAGGTTTTAGTGAGACAGGATGAAGGTAGACAGACATTGCCCACTCAAATCTTCAAAAGCTTTTCCTACTTCAGTGATGGACTTAAGCTCCTCACTGCACAAACAGCCATATTTCACCGTTGATGATTATCAAAAAATGATGAATTCTCTAGCCAATCAAACTGCAACTAGTCAAACACGACAGAAGAAGTAGATGTATTGTTATTTGCATGCAGTTTTCCAGGTAACACAGATCTAAACTGAACCCATGCTATGCTGTGTTTGACATGTCTGGCTAAGAGTATTGGGTCATTGTGTTGGTTACGTTTCCGGCCATTGTTTTCAAGCTTCTAGGTTACTGCAGTTTCCCAGCAACAACATAACTGTGCTATCCCTGCGCTAGGGTTGTGTGGGTAAAGATTCATGTAGCCTTCTTATAATGCTTTACCCAGAATGACATCTGTTGCATGAGGGAACATGCATTTTTTGACGAATAAAAGCAAAATCCCTGCTCGGTTTATGAGGTTGCCCACTCCCACATCCACCCAATCAGTCAAATACACTTGCCTATTGTATAGCGGTGGGATGCCCAGGGAGAACAGCAAGCCACACCAGGAGGATTATGCTAATTGAAAATAAATTATTTTTAGTTTGTTACAGATTGTAAGAAACTATAATGAAAAAATCGATAAATAAGAGCTACAAGGTGTTGTGTGTATATACTAGAGCTGGTGATTTAATATGTGAATTTAGTAGATTCATTTTATCATTAATTTTAATTAATTTAAAATTAACTGTTAAATAATTAAAAAATAATCATGTCCACTGACCCATACATATTCCTTAATAATTGTGGGGGAAAAAAATGTGATTGTGCTTATTTTGATTAATTGGTGGGCATATAATGATTCATTTGATTAAATAATTAGCATATCATGTAATTAATTAGATAACATTTCTGATAAATTGATTTCCCTAGTATGTACCAAATAAGATATATGTATCCATACAGCATATATCTTTTCATTTAAAATTCCAAGACTGCAGTTTTCCATCTCAAGTTGTTTTCCTCAGAGGAATGGATACACAGCCATGCTCTTCAAGTTTGTTAGAGGAGGGTCTCTTGGGGTCCCAAAAGCTGCCTCTCAGAATGCAGAGATGAGAGTAATATGATATGATGTCAGGGGATTTGTTGTTTAGCATTTGTAAATCACAGGCCTGCATACTTCACCGAATGCTGTTGTCCAACAAACCACAGCCTACTCATTGTCTGCTGGCTCTCACTTGTGCTTGTATTCTTTTTTTGTTAGCCCTGTTATTTCTTACTAAGTAACCCAGTGTAGCTTCAGAGTGTCTAATAAGCCTTCTGCAAGTCACTTATGATAGATGTGTTAGTTAAGTGATAAATTAATGTCAATGCCCTACAAGTGAGACCATAAAAAGTGTTAGTATTGTGCATTTTAGGAGACACATCATTTTAGAAGGAATCACAAGAGGCAATAAGACTGTTATGATAATGTAGCACAGGCTGCCAGACAAATTTGTATCTTGTATTTTATTTCCTCTTTAATTTAATAATTTATTCATTGTGTTCTCTCCTATTTCCCCCTACAGTTACAGAGAAAGAAGTTCAGCAATGGTAAGTTATTCCATCCATCCATCCATCACCTACCTGTCTGTCTGTCTATTATTGTTGCTGTCTTTATACTGTTATATCTATCTGTTTTTCTATCTAGTTCTACACACACTCCTCTGCTCTGTGTTTATCCTCCTCCTCTCTTCCCTCTGTTGTCTGTTTTGGCACACTGGGTACATCATGCTTTTATACCTCCATCTGCTTTGGCCACTCAGCACAGCATCATTTTACATTTCCTCTCATCATTTTGTAGTTGTGCTTCCCAGGGGAAAAATCTCAGTGTCTATCCTTGAAACACACACATTTGACAGAAATATTACAGCCCATCTCTCCGTTCATATGCCCAAATGTCATCGAGCTGGAGTGTGTAGTTTTGCACACCTCACTTAACGTCAGCCTGTCAGAGAGTTCAAGCGCTGGCGCCTTAGCTTGGCATGCCCAAGGTCAGTCCAGTTCTAGCACTGTGTGTCCCTGGGTGTTTGCCAGGCTAAATTGTTGACTCATTTCTGCCGCTGCTGGTCGACATAAAACCAGTGAGGAAGGACGTGGTGTGAGGCTGCAGTGGGACGTGAGCTATAGGTGCATTTTGAATTTTCTCTGCCTGTCAGAGTCCTGTAGCATGCGTTGCTTATTCAGTACCCATCATTCTTTTGAGCATCCTTCCTGTGGATGAGATGAAGGTGCAAAAAGCAGCTTTTTTTTCATGGTTTTAGCTACAGTACTTTTGTGATGCACAAATGTCAGAATTGTGTGTAATTTAAATTTACACGAAAATACTTAAAATGAAAAAGCAAAACATTAAAATGAAAAAAACTTAAATGAAAGTGTTAATTTCTTAAAAAAATTACTTACCCCAAAACTTTAAATGGTAGTGCAAATATACAGTATATGTATATATAAACAGTATATATACATATATATATATATATATATATACACACACACACACACACACATACAGTATATGTTGTGGGATGGGGTCATTGGAAATTAATAATTGCAAATTAAAATTTTGCCATCAATCAAGTGTTTAGTGTTTAAATAATGGCACTGCAATGTCTGCAATGCAATGTTTAAATAATGGCACTGCAATGTCTGTGAATAGTAATAGAAAATGTATATATTTGTTACAATAATTTCTATCTGTCAAAAAGTAATGAGTACAAGTTACTGTAATTTACGCAAAACAAAGCAAATTTTGCAGTTCTGCTCATGGATATCTTCTTCCTTAAAACCACTGTTGCCTTCTTAACATAGCTTAATTTCCAAGTTTATTGACAGAAATGGTGTGTGTTTACTTCCAGGAGTTGCATAAAGCCAGTTAATTACAGCGAAACTGGCAGTTTGAGTCATTGCTTGTTATTTTCCTCATTCATCAGATGGTCAGTGAACAGACTGTGGTGGCACATCTGAGGCTGAGAGTAATATTCATATATCTTTTTTGTGTGATTGTTATTTTAATATTTGTTATTCAACCTCAGAGCTGAAATGTAATGAAAGTGACATAAACATCTTCCTCCCTGATCTCAAACTGAATTACAGAACTATTACATTAGCCTGACAGAATTGCATTCTCTTTCATAAAGGCTGCGGCATTCAATGTCCTCTTATCCTAGACCTAGACATTCTGTCGCTTATAATACATACAGAAATGAAATCCCCAGCATTGACCAGGAGTTCCACTTGACCCAACATTGGGTTGAAACAACCCAGCATTTTTTAGAGTGTATATGCATATAAATGACCATTTTTATATGCGCTGATGGGCATTGATCAGCCAACTACTTTGCATTGCGGTTAACCTGCGTGGAGGCTGAATTAATGGCTGTGCATAGGTTAACCAACAGCCCCAGGAGCAACCATTAAACATCTGAGCGATTAATTTAGTCGTTTGTCTTTCCCTGCATGAGCTAATGGACTCCATAATGAAAGTCTGTGTTTGAATATACTGCAATCTACTGAAGTTCTGTTTAATGGAGGGCACAGCTGAAGTGCCATAAGGTGACGAGGCTTTTGTCAGCAGTCTTGCTAAACAAAAAGTCACATTTTTAAGTCACGTTTCATTCATCTTCCCTCCTGTGAAATGTTAAAAGCTTGCAAGTGGATAATTGAGCTGTGAGTGTGTTGAACTTAATAACCATGGTAGTTCAATTTGTGAACAAATCATTCAGATTATTCACTCAAAAGAGTCGACTCACTTCAATATTCAATCATCCATTTTACTCAGATGTACTGAATATCTGTCGCTGATTCTACTATTCATTGCAAATTTAAAATGTGATTGTTTGATAGCAATATTGTTCCAGGGTAAACAGGGTTGTTGATTCTGGAATGTCATAATTGGGTAAATCATATTAAGCGTACAACACCACAAAAAAGCACCTAACTACAACAATATTATGATATCATAAAGCAATGATTAAAACACTGCCTCCAGTGACCACCAATGAACACAAAATCATTGAGATTCCTTTAACGTTTCCCTTCCATTAGAGCCAGAGAGGTTCTGAAGTGATGACGGTCAATTGAGCCAACACCAGTGCAGCTGTGTGAGGAATGACAACATATTTTATTCAGGAACAAATGGTGAAATTATAATGTTTTTCCCCTCTTCCAGGTACAAGGGCTTCATAAAAGATTGCCCGAGTGGTCAGCTTGATGCTGCAGGTTTCCAGAAGATCTACAAACAGTTCTTCCCCTTCGGTGACCCCACCAAGTTTGCCTCATTTGTCTTCAATGTTTTTGACGAGAACAAGGTGAAGTACACGTCACTGTTAGGGTCTTGCTCAAAAGAATTTATTTTGGGTTGGAGACATTCTGTCTTTATCTCTTTCACTCTTTACTAATGCCCCATTCACCCTGACAGGAATTTTATCGCAAAAGGTCACTGTTTTCTTGTGGGTAGTAGATGTTCCTACTATGCCCTAATGTTATTGATGAACTCCACAATCCTAGTGTAAACCTGTTCCAAAACCTAACACATCATAGATGGTCTCAACTCAAATATTGTTCCAAATAGAGAGACAACTTAAAGGGATATTTCACCCAAAAATAAAAATTCTGTCATTGATTAACATAACCTCAAGTTATTTCAAACCTGTATGAGTTTCTTTCGTCTGTTGAACAGAAAAGAAGATATTTTGAAGAATGCGGGTAACCAAACTAAGACTTCCATCGTATTAAAAAATAAAAAATGTTATGGAAGTCAGTGGCTACCAGCAACTGTTTGGTTACCAACTTTCTTCAAGATGTTTGGGTGTGTGTGTTCAACAGAAGAATGAAATTCATACAGGTTTAAAACAACGTGAGGGTGAGTAAATTATGAATAATATAAATAACTGTCCCTTTAATAATGCTGCCTCCTGAGATACTTATCCAAACAAATTCTCAGGCAAATAATTTATCCAATATGGTGGATGAAACAAGATAAATGTGAACTATAAATAAATAAATATTAATATTACATTTTTATGTGTATTAAGTGTATTTATGCTTATTAGAGTTTCCCATTATTTCTGTCTTGTAACTAATAAAATCAATTTCAAATCAAGTCTTCAATGCAGAGCAATATTTGTAATACACACACATGGAGTTGTATATATATATATATATATATATATATATATATATATAATTCTATGTCAGTCAGAGGTTCCTTTACTGTTAGGATGCTGCCTTAGAAGGCAGCTGCCTATGTAGACAGCAGACAGTGAGAGACTGCAGGTTTTGCAACAGAGCACGTATGTATATGGATGGGAGGTGAAAGGTTAATTATTCTCACTCTCTAGCGAATTGTGCTATGTTCCTGTTATTAATTATTCATTAAATACCCTCATTTTGTTATCTATGCAATCTGTAATGTGATTAGGAGCCAGTTAGCCCCGCCAGATAAGTGTCGTCTGGCAGCCAAACCACTTTTAGAGATCACACACACACACACACACACACACAGTCAAACCAGTCCCTATGTTTATTTATAGGTTTTGAAAGGCACCGCTGTTCGTGAGAGACATTCATCTTGGCTTTTGTTTGCTCTTTTCTAGTAATCTGTACCACTGCAATGCATTTCACCTCAGATTCACTTTTCCAGCCATCTCATGGTCAGTGTTCTGGAGATGTTATCAGTCTGGGCTTGTAAAGAACTGCAGTGATGTCTAACAGAACAGACTCTGTAGTCTGACTCTAGAACAGAGGTCAAAAAGGCACAAACCAGACATCACAATTCTCGCTTTCCTTGAATTTGTGCTCCAACATTTTGACAGCAGCATTCGTTTTGCAAGGAACCGGTCTTATTCTACGATATGACGTTTGTGTTATCCTTTTTCACATTTAATTATAATTTAATTACAGCTGTACAAAAATATCAAAACTAAGAAAATAATTGCATGAATAGTTCACCCAAAAATGTAAATTCTGCAATCATTTAGTCACCCTCAAGTTGTTCCAAACCTGTATGATTTTTTTTTTCTGCTGAGCTTCAAAAGATATTTTGAAGAATGTAACCAAAGAGTTGATGGTCCGCAATATACTTCCATAGTATTTAATATTAAATAAAATTATTAAAATTAAATTAAATTAATACTTCCATAGCAATAACATAATTATTTTTCCATGCTAGCGAAGTCAGTTGGGACCATCAACTGTTTGGTTACCCGTATTCTTTAAAATATCTTCTTTAATGTTCAACAAAAGCAAGAAACTCATACAGGTTTGTAACGATGTAAAGGTGAGTAAATGTGACCCTGGACCACAAAACCAGTCTTAAGTCGCTTGGGCATATTTGTAGCAATAGCCAAAAATACATTATATGGGTCAAAATTATTGATTTTTCTTTTATGCCAAAAATCATTAGGATATTAAGTAAAGATCATGTTCCATGAAGATATTTTGTAAATTTCCTACTGTAAATATATCAAAACGTAATTTTTGATTAGTAATATGCATTGCTAAGAACTTCATTTGGACAACTTTAAAGGCGATTTTCTCAGAAATTTGATTTTTTTTGCACCCTCAGATTCCAGATTTTCAAATAGTTGTATCTCGGCCAAATATTGTCCTATCATAACAAACTATAAATCAATGGAAAGCTTATTTATTCAGTGTATAATTCTCAAAAATTTCAAAAAATGTACACTTATGACTGGTTTTGTGGCCAGGGTCACAAATGATGACAGCATTAAAATTTTTTTGGGGTAAACTATCCCTTTAATCAGGTTAGATGCCATATTGAATTTAACACGGATGAAAACGATAGACTTACAATAAGCTTACAATCTGTACAATGGTTCATAAGGCCCTAGATCATGTCATTTTCAAAACTCACAACTTTCAAAACTGTTTTATGGAGTTTTTGTCTACTGAAAGTTGTTTTTTTGTCCAGAAAGAAATTTCATCAGCTGAACAATCGATATGTTGTTAAACAACAGTACAATCCATTGAACGCACTCTACTTCAGATTGTGCAGTTTCAGCATCTGCCAGCAGGGGCTAATACGGCCATGATGATGAGCCAAACCTCAACACCTCGCAAATGACTGAAACGATAAACTTGACTTGACCTGATCCCCACTTTGTGCGGTTTCGAGGAAACACTAAACCCTTATGACCATGTAACATTCAGGCAGATCATATAAAATGCAAGTCTAGGCAAGGATATAAGTAATGTTTTATGTTGTGGAAAACAACTCTGAGCACAATGAAAGCCATCATTAAAAGTGAGATAAAAGATTAAATAAATGGCTGTCCTCCAAAAGGTAGTGCTCTGAATATTGGAAGTGTTGTAGGGCAGTAACAGTAACTGTTGTTGTTGTTGTTTTTGTTCTCCATGACAGACTGCATGAGACAGTGAAAGCAAATACACTCACAAACGTGACTCATATGGAAGGGTGGCAAGAAAGTTGAGTCACCTAGAGTTTGCCAGAGGCATATAGGAAATGCAACAATTTGGTTTAATGAGATTCTGTGGTTTGATGACACCAAAACTGAACCTTTGAACCTCAAAGCTGTATTTGACTGAAACGTAACACTGCATGCTAGATTCAGTTTAATAGCAGGAACTGGAAAACTCTGTTGAAGGGAAAATGAATTGAGGAATACATAGGAATTCAGTAGGTAAACATGAATCTGATTCTTGTTCCATCGGTGAGTGAGAACATGTAGCTAAATTTTAGCTATTGTAGTAATTTTTTATTATTTTTATTTTATTGTAGTAAGCTATTGTAGTACTACATTGTAGTAACTGAAAAATGAATTCATAATTTATACATTTATTTATTAGTATTAGAAATTAATTAATTAATTTTTATTATTGTTTTTAATTATTATTGTTATTATTTAGATTGGCATGTGAGGGTTTTTTGTGTGTGTGTGTGTGTTTTATTCCTGGAGTCTATGTAGTAAAGAAAAAAAGTAAGAAGTAAAGGAACATGCAGGATGCTTGATGCATGTTATCAAGTTGAAATCTGGTTCATAATTGGTACTTATTAGATTAAGAATAGTTAAAGGGGTCCTATTATGCTTTTTCACTTTTTCAACTTTAGCTAGTCTGTAATGTTGCTGTTTGAGCATAAAAAAACATCTGCAAAGTTACAAAGCTCAACGTCCAATTCAAAAGGAGATATTTTATTTAACATAAATCAATTTTCAAAAACTACAACGAACGACTCGTTTGGACTACAACGCATATTTTCCAGGATTTGTGATATCACAAATACTGACGAATGGGACGAGACCTCGTTGAGCTGCATTAGAGAAGGCAACGAGTGTTATCACTATGTCGCAGACACACTAGCTTTCCCAAGGCAGACGGACTTAGAGTGGTTACAATCATCCAGGTTTAAATCGCACTCAAATTGATTTGATTTTGAGCAATATTTACACTGAAGCTCGCAGCAGGCGGCTATGGTAAGGGGCATGACATTTCCCGACCAGGCGCCGAGTGCTGCCAATCACAACACACACTGGCCCAGCTAACCAATCACAACACACACTGGCCCAGCTAACCAATCACAACACACACTGGCCCAGCTAACCAATCACAACACACACTGGCCCAGCTAACCAATCACAACACACACTGGCCCAGCTAACCAATCACAACACACACTGGCCCAGCTAACCAATCACAACACACACTGGCCCAGCTAACCAATCACAACACACACTGGCCCAGCTAACCAATCACAACACACACTGGCCCAGCTAACCAATCACAACACACACTGGCCCAGCTAACCAATCACAACACACACTGGCCCAGCTAACCAATCACAACACACACTGGCCCAGCTAACCAATCACAACACACACTGGCCCAGCTAACCAATCACAGCACA